CACACTAGAAAAGCCCGGAACGTACAGCTCCGTGCTGAGTGCACGGCCGTACCAAGCAGCTCCCGGGAAGGACAGGTGCTGCGTGTGATTAGTATGCAGCCCCTGTCCTTCTCTATGGGAGTACGCGGCCATACGCCACCGTACGCTCACCCCAAGTGCAGGTCCGTGCGGGTGTCCCGGCTCGGATGCAGGCAGGATCTATCCTGTCAGTGCACGAATACGGACACCCGCATGGACGTGCAGGGCGGGTGAGCGTAGGGCGGGGTATGGCCGCGTACTCCCATAGAGAAGGACAGGGCCTGCATACTAATCACACGCATCCCCTCCCTCTCCCGGGAGCTGCCCGATACGGCCACGCACGCAGCACAGAGCTGTAAGTGCCGGCCTTTTCTCATGTGAATGAGGCCTTACAGTCATCATGTTTCAGAGCAGCTCCAACTCTCTCAGCTCAGTTTCCCTTAACTTCCTGTCTAATACAAGATCACAAGGGGCAGAGCCGTCTCCAGCAGCTGTCCATCTGCTAGCTTGGAGAAGGTAGGAAGAAGGAGAGGGGAGCAGGGGAATGGCTTACATTGCTTTGCCTGTGTGTTTGTGAAGACACGCACAGCTTACCAGCACACACAAGGGTGGCTCCATAGGACCCTGCAAGGGAAAGGGGCCACCCTAAAACAGGATATCAGGACCAGTGCTCAGGAGACCAGCTGATTCCGTAGGAAACTAGAACATTTAAACATCAAGAAGTAGCGTCTATTGTCAGTGATGTAATCAGCATTTGAAATTGCCTAAAAACCTTTTGAGCAATTTCTTAGCCTCTCCACTCCTCCCCTGTCTGCAATCGCTTTACTGGCTGTAAAAGAAATATCCTATAACCATACAGCAATGGAGAGCTTCCAGACAGAATTCAAACCAGGTCTTCTTATGCCAACCAGTATGTCTGAAAATACCCACTTTTGATTACATAATATCTAATAGAACATTTAACATTTTGCATCAAAAATGACAGGTCCTCTTTAAAGAGTCAGTCCACTCCCAACATTTGAGTTCTGATTTAGTTTAAACTTGAGTTCAGCTCATCAAAAAAAAAGAAAACAAATCATAATATGAAATGTAATTGTCCTGCATATCAACTGAAAGAAATAAACGTTGGCTGAAGTGTGATCTGGATTTAGACATTATATAACAAAGAAGAAATGCTTTATAGACATGAAAAGTGACATAAATGTCAAATACGTGATCTGCGGTGATGTTCAACCATAGGATCCTACTGCTTGCATCACATTACATAGAGGATGGCACAGTGGGGAGTGTCCAGTGTTTGCAGTGAGGTAAGGATGGTCAAGGGCAGACCAAGCTGGCCGTAAGGTCAGTCTAAAGCAGTGGTTCTCAACCCGTGTAACCTCAGGACCCACATTTGTCTTTGGTCATTAAGTCGCGACCCAAGTCACACTGCAATGGAACGCACGGCATTAGGGTACCACGTGTTCTGGTGTGGGTGTACGAGCTGTGGAAGGGAGGTTCGTTTAGGGCGGAGCCATTCAAATGAATGGCAACCCAACACATCTCCCACACCAGAATGCACAGTAGGTGCATTTGCGTGGTGCAGTGCATTGATCGCATGGTACTATGCGATTAACGCACTGTGCTAGTGTGAACGGACCCTAAAAAACACTGACAGACACACACAACCACAGACAAAATCTGCTGAACTGTGACGGAGCTCCATCCATATGTGCATTGCATGTACAGCTCCCTTGCGCACCCTGTAGAGGTGCTGGGAGCCAGAATGTGATGTCACTCCGGTCCAGGCGCCTCTACAGGACATGCGAGGGAGATGTAAACAATGCATGTATGGATGGAGCTCCCTTGCGGCCATACCCCCATTCCACCGCACCTCAAGCTGACACTTAGCACCGGGCAGCATATTTTGAATGGCTGTTTGGTGTGAGAACTGACAGTGCTGCTCTTGGGGGAGGCTGAGGAGCCTCTCACCTAAAAAAGTAGAAGGCATGTGGCGACCCACTGAACACGGGGTCGCGACCCATTTTTGGCTCACGACCCACCAGTTGAGAACCAAGGGTCTAAAGCTTCATCTGGGGTTAGCAAGAAAAGAAATCTGGTGTGTTCACATGAACCTACAGAAACACTTCACCACCAAACTAATTCAGTTTTCAGAGAAGGGTAATCAGTGAAGATTGTATAGAAAATGATATTTCCCTCCGGAGCTCTGCTGTGAAAATCAGCCGATTCAGAAGAATGGTTTCCTTACTCTTTAGGCTGCCGCGGCCTGCTAGATTTATTTGGGAGCATTAAACCCTTTTAGGAGGTTCACAATTCAGTTCTGGTATTTGTTAAAAGATCATAGAGGATAAAAGGATTTCATTTCTGAATATCTCCTAAACCCTGACAGACACACAGATCCAGGTTAGGAAGGACTTCCTCTTTAGATCGCCTCCTTCTATGGGAGCAACTTGAATATATACAAAACCAAGATCTTGAGAGACATCCCAGAAGCCCCCACAGCTACCACTGCTAGATTTGTGTATCAGCTTCAATGGCTTCTTGCAGAGTGGTGAAGACTGCAGATGTCTTCTATTTTGTTCCCACCGTTAGCACCTGAAGGTCACAGAGTGATGGATACAACAAAAGGGAGGAAGGACAAGGCCTTGCACATTACACTTTGAGAAGATATACAGCATGTTGGTACTAACGTCAAGAAAGCCAGTGCCAATGCATAGGATTGAACCTGCCGTTCAGGACATACTGCTGGACATGCTTGCCTTTCTAAGAAGACTAAAGTCTAAAACCCATTGGTTGATGTCACACTGGAGATTCAGCTGCTGGTGACACCTTGTCAGCTACTGAAACACCAAAGTACACCAATTTATCGAATAGGTGTCTCTACCTGACTGGCCCTACGAAATCTTGATGGCTAACAAGGGACTAAGAAGCATCTCACCAGTGAGGGAGCAATGCCATAGGAGGAGTTCAATGAAATCTTAGCAATTTAGTCACTGGCAACTCTTTGCTGGGATCTGAATTGCTAGTGAGACATGGAACTTTAATCAGCAGATAAAGGTATACTGTATTGTAGGAGCTGTGGACCCCTTGAGTAGATATGGATAAATGGATGGTGGTACAATTCCTGAATCTTGGCGGTAGCTCTCTATCCACAAGGGTATCCCAAGGAGTTCCCAGAAACGTTGTAGAGCATTGGAAAAATGAGAGGGCCACACTGGTTGATTGAGTCCACTAAAGGTTCTTTATTAGGTGGACAGCAACATTGCATCTAATAAAGAACCTACAGTGGACTGAATTAATCAGTGTGGTGCTCTAATTTTTACAATGCTCTACAAATGGATCTTTAATCAGGAATCTTTTGACACAATGAAGGACAAAAAGAGGAAAGTAGCAATGGCTCGTAGAAGGAAATGATCCCAATGAAGATCTGGGGGTAGCTATGACCCTCCTTGTAAGGATTCTCTAATCACCAGAAATTAAATATTACAAGTCTAAAGTGAAGTTCTTACGGGAGACCAAATGAGCAACTATGTACACAGTCATAGTGGAGTGTTATCTCAGGGCATCTGCCCGATGCATTCCTCAAGCAGCAAGTAGGCCCAGGTTTTGGTGATAGCGGAAAGGGCAGTTGCCGCATCACGCCACTGCGGAATTGGGAGTCCAGTACGTGGGATCGCAGTGGAGATGTCTTCTGGAGGATGCCACTCATATTTGAAATTCCTGGCATAAATGTTCCTTGGCTGGAAATCCAACGCATTTCTTGTAAGAATTCCTCTGTCCCAACATCAAATTGATTCCACATCATCAAGAAACGTATAGAGCAGCTTGTAAAGATTGCCGATGCATGCAGACAGACAGTAAGACTTGAATGATAGGGGAGGGTGTGACTGTTCTCCGGGTGGGTATGAATAAGGTGCTTCTGTATAAGGCTTAGTTATTAAGTGGTTCAGTTAGAGACAGAAATCTATGATGAGCACCGGCGTGCTGGGAATTCTAGTTCCTAAGCATCTTATAGCCCCAAGGTGGCTGAGCATTGTCTGTGGCATCTGCTGAAGTGTGATATTGAAGGCCTTCGTTTATAAAGTGTCTGAGCGAGGACCTATCTAAAGGAGCCCACCCACATTTCAATCCTTTTCAATACTTCAACTCATCTAAAGCTGACCACACACACATTACAATCTAGGTGCACAATATCCTTTAGTTCTGATAACAGTCATGTTGTGCAAGGGCATGACCGTCCAGACCAGTTGCAAAGACAATTGGTCTGTAAGGTGAATGGCCAGCTTAAGAAAAACTGATGCGTCAGCTTTTTTTTTCCACTACAATTTAAAAAGTTTGGGTTACTTCTTGACCCAAATGACCATTCTCGTACACTTTGTAAATAATAAGGCCAGTGTGATTAAAGAGCGGAAAGCCCCAAGTGGTTTTGATAATGTTTTTTTAACATGTGGAATGTTGTATAATTGTTAAAGTGTACATGGGATGAGTGTTATGTATGGGCTTATTCATTAAGGTGATGCAAAATGTAACAATGATGCAGTAACCCATAGCGACCAATCAGAAATCACTTTTACAATGATCTCGTTACAGTAAACGGAAATCTGGCGGCCATGGGTAACCTCTGTTTGGGTTTGGCGCTATTAAAGGGCCACTACACATAAATAAAAGGCTGATTCAAGTGAAAAGCAAAAATATTCACAGATATGTAAATGTTTCAGGGGAATAATAGAACATAAAGTATAATAAAAATGAAGATTCTATAGTGAGAAACAGCAATTTCCAACACAGAGCTTGCTTCCTGTCCAGGAATCCTTTAGGATTAGTAAATTATATTTTGGTGCCCCCTTTGCCTGACATGGCTGCTCTCGTGCAGCAAAGTCTTATAACGGTCAGATATTCCAAGTTTTGTATAGGCGTGGTGACAATTTTCCATACATAAGTGTGACTATAAATCAGCTTGTTCACACAACGCACCTTTTCCTGGTAGTGGCCCTTTTAATAAGCCCGGATGTATTAACCTGACCTTGGGGTTATGTCACTGCGTGGTCAATGTAAGATCCAGTGTAGACGTGTTCTGGAACCAGACGTGTTCACATTGCATGTTTCAGTGTATAGTGTTTTGTCTGCCTGTAACCGATCTCCAGTGTTCTTGACTGGGGAGGTACAGTAAAATGGAATAGCTAAAAAAAAAAAAAAAAGGGGGGTCATGGGCTGATGCTCGGGATGAAATGATGAGATGCTTTCTAAAGGCCGGATCACAAAGGATGACGATGGAGGGTTGAAGGGTGTCCACAGAACGTGTGGCGCTCCAGTTACTCCTTCAGTTCCACAGTGGGACAGCAGAGGGCGTGAGAGGTGAGCAAAGCGTGCATGTCCTGGAAAGAAGGCCTTTCCCTGCAGTCCCTGGCCCAGCACTGCAGCATCAGCTCATACAGCGATGGAGGACAGATGGGTGGCCGCGACAAATAGATCTGGAGTGAAGGGAAAAGGATTGGAGAAAGTTAGTTCAATAATAATACAAATGCCAAAAGAACTCTGTGCACTACTGAATTTTAAGAGATAAAATAAAGTTGAACTCCCCTTTATCTTTACTTAATGTGCTGGAGACACCACATTGGAAATAGACAGTTGTCACCGGAACAAGTGTCCCCATTAGAAGATCTTCTGGTGACAACTGTTACATTTTGAATTGCCTATCACTTTCTGTCCTGGTGACAATGGTCAAACAGAGAGTGTGAATCTCATAGGGAGTAATAAAAACCCAAAAGGAGTTCTAAAAAAATAAAATAATGTTTTGGCTATATATATATATATATATATATGCATGGTGACCTTTTAGACAAAGTTCACTTATTCTTTCTGCCCCCGTCCCCTGACCTGAACAATCCCACCCTCTCTCTATACTTACCAAGATCCAAGGGCTGCTGCTCTACTGTTTATTCACATCCAGTCCTGGCCGCATCCGGCTCCCTGATAGGAGATGGCCCCATAGATGTCTATGGGGTTGTAATGTGTAGGTGCAGCCAGCAGAGGGAGCAAAGCAGCCCTGGATGTAAACAGTAGTGGAACCGTGCCTGTCGGATCTTGGTGGGTACTGATTTGCAGAGGGGGAGACTAGGATCGTTTAGATCAGTGGTGGGAAACAAGAAAGATGAGTGCCCTTATCCTTTTAAACACTAAAGTAACCAACATAACAGATAACCAAAAAGCAGCATAAACTTTCAGCATATAATAAGTAAATTGAATTCTTTCCCATCCAGAAGATGTAGCTGCTCCCATCCAACAATGCAAAGTGCACTTATGCTTTTGGCCTCTTTAAGACGACCTAATGGATCTCTCCCTGCTCATGCACGGTTGTATTCTTACCGAGTTCCAACGAGTCAAGCCTCCATTGTTTATTTACATCCTACAAGGAAAGTCTTCCTCTCCTGGCCATGACTGTGCAGTACATCCCCACTGACTTCTGAATTAAAGAATGGAGGCCAGGCCCATTGGAATTCGGTAAGTATGCCTCTGTGAAATTGGATGGAAGGATCAGTTGGATCATCTTAAAGGGGGCTAAAGGATGACTGCACTTTGTTTTAAAGTGCATTTATCCCTTAGCAGCTGAATGGGTCGTGCTGACAAGCACTTTTTGAGCCCAGAGTGGCAGGGGAGTGAATGAAAGATGAGAAGAAGTTTCTGCAGATGCCAGCAATGAAGGGAAGCTGTCCTAGTGACCATACAAGTTCACTGTATCCTACCTGATGGCACAAAAGAGTTCTCAGTCATATATATTAAATACTGTTGGGGAATTTATCATAGGAATTGCGAGAGTTTGAACTCACATATGGCCGCATGGGATATATTTGCGCAAGATGTATGTTGCTAATGTAATGTTGTTCATGAATGAGGTTAAATACACTGCAGGAAAGAAGACTCCTAACTCCAGGCAAAAAGCTTAAGGGCCGGTGCACACCTAGGCGATTTATCGTGCGGTTTGAGTGATATCGTGCAAAACACAGATGCACTGAAGTCAATAGAGGCTGCTCACACCTTTGCGGTTTGTCTCGCGGCCAAAATCTCCTGTCGCGAGAAAAGGTGCAGGAGTTATTTTTGGCCGGTTGTTGCGCGGCTTGGGTCCCATAGACATCTCTATGCATTGAAAAACACGTGACAACCGCGCGGTTTACAATGAACAATCGCGCGATCGAAAACGCGCAACAACCACGCGAAAACAGCTCGGCATCTGAATTGCCTAGGTGTGAACCTAGCCTAACTGTTGCTTGAGGACTTCTCAGGGCCGGTGCACACCTAAGCGACACACCACCACGCGGAAATCGTGCACGAGCAGGTCAGGTAAAAGTACCTTTTTTTTCTGCAAAACACGACGTGCGGCTGACGTGTTCGGAAGCAGGTGCGGAATCGCGGTGGAAACTATCTGAAAATAATGGCACCCACAGCGCGATCGGTGCACACCTGGGCGACTCCTGACCGCGCAGCTATCAATGCGGAATCGTGCATGATTGCCGCACGGTGGGGTGTCGCCTAGATGTGCACCGGCCCTTAAGTTGCGATTGTTTTGGGAGGTGATGCTCCAGTTTCAGACAACCGCAGGACAAGCGCAGATGTAAACAGTTGCAAACTTTCTCAAAACACGCGCAATCAGGAAAATAGCTCAAGCTCTGGTCAAAATGGGCGCACATGTTAAAAGGAGCCGCTAAACAGATTTGCATATTTACAAAAATGATCTAGGAGGCTCAAGTAGTTGCAAATGCTTTGATAAATTCCCCCCGTATCTTTCCGTTAATGGAATGACCCGTTTATATTCAGCTTTCTTTATAATAAATAAATAATGAACAAGTCTCCTATGAAGCCTGTGCTGCTTTTGTGAATTATTTGGCAGCCTGAAGATATTCAGGACGTGACCGCCACAAACAAGGTGGCACAATAATCCCATCAGCCCTGCATTCCAGAATGGAAGTAACTCTGCGGAGAAGGATTTTAGTGGATTTGCTGGGTGAATTAAGGCCACTGAGCAAAAATAAATAAAACTATTTACTATAATTGTATTTCTAACTGTATCCTTGTTACTCTTCCTGGAAAAATATATAATAATAATTTTTTAGATTACTCTCATATCTTTAGGCTTGTGTCCTTAACTGCTGCTTTTGTGTCAGCCTAAGGTCAGCGCTCTGTTAGTAGACCTTTGCTGAAAGCAGTGGGTGGCTTATCCTGTAAAGGGTTTTTGGCAACAGTTACTATGACTGTACTAATTTCTAGTAATAGCCAATTGGATTCCAACTGTTACAATAAATAAAACACTTTTACTGATCTGCATCATTTTCTTAAACAAGACCGTTGACATCTCAACCACACTTACCTGTTTCTTGCTGTCTCGAAAGATTTCGCCGGCATTCTCAATCACATCTTCGTCATTTAGCTCTCCGTATGGCTGCTCCTTACATAACATCAAAACCTCCCACAGCGTCACCCCAAATGCCCAGACATCGCTGGCTGTGGTGAATTTTCCCTGTGTGGAAGGTCAGGAAATCATTAGGGATTTTGTCTTTATTTTTCCATTACACAGTATTTTATTAAAGGTTTCAGAAGCATAATACAGCTTTAAGGCATTATAGTAGGATCAAGTTATAATAAGCACAAGATCTCAAATATATCATTTGGTGATTCATGAAGGAATTGAGAGAAAGTGACGGGGAGGGGAGGGAGATGATTCTTTTCAGCCACTAGAGTCCATGTCTTAGAAGGCCAGGAGAACCAGGTGTGCTAAGGAGCAGAAAGGTATGGGGGGTCATGTATGGGGATATAGGGTGTATTAGGTATGGGAGGGGGAGTAGTTAGGAGGTATATAGGGGCCAATTTTTATTATACATACAGTTGTGAACCTCTTTTAATGGTCTTCAGGAAATTTTGTGTAACATTTTCTTGTCAATTTAATTTTTTTCATGTTTAAAGGTTTGTAAATTAAAGTATTTTATTTAATCATGTGTATAACATTGTTATTTTACAAATAAACCTTTGATACAGAATATTTCTATTAAACAGTATCTGCAGAAAGTCGCGGAATGTTAACGCTTAACTCTAGTCAAAAGGTTTTTTGGGGATAATTTTGCAAAGAGTCCACATTTTGATCAGGCATTTTTTTTCTGCCTGTGACACCATTGGGGAGATTTTTAGAATATGGTAGATCCCATTACATACCTGACTGGAAAACCCCAAAAGGGGGGGGGGTGGTTGGGGGAGGATTGACCATCAAAGTGTCACATAACTTTATCGACCTTTCAAGACCATCTGGTCTCTTCTTTAGGCAAAACAAAACAAAAGTTTTTGCCTGAAGAAGAGACCAGACTGTTTCGAAAAGTCGCTAAAGTTATGTGACACTTTGATGGTCAATAAAGAAGATTGACTACAAAAGTTTCTGGAGTGCGAGTGACTTTCTACCAGTTACACTATTGGGGAGATCTTCCCTCACTTTCCCTCACCTCATAAAATGGGGCATGTGGCTGTGAGTAGGACCGGAAGACACAAACAGCAATAATAAAGTTGTCAAAAGTTCTAACTCTTCCCCATTCTACTGAAATGAGTTTTTGTTTTTGTCTGTGTCCCCATTGGAGAACTTTCCACCCACAAAGCAGGGAGAAATCTCTCCAACAGGGACATTGGGCAGGAAAGAATGCTTCACAGATGCTACAACCTCTCACCGCTCTCTCAAATTAAATATTTTGGCTGGAGGCAGACCTTCCAAAAGACCAGAATAGCGGATCTTGCTTTCTATCTAAGGATGATAACCTTCCCCGCATTAAAGCGTAGGCCCAGTACCGCCATCATTTTAAATATCTCCTGACACCTTCACATATTCAGCCATGATAGTTAAGCTTCTCTTACACAAACCAGTTTATGAAAATGGTGCTATTTATAAACAGCTGCCATTAAACAACAAGAAGAGGAGTAAGTTATGATGAAGAATTAGGCAGGCTCTCTTACCATGAGTATGCACTCCCAGGCCATCCACCGGATTGGCAGCACTGCCCGCCCCTGTATCCGGTAGTAGTCTCCAGCATACAAGTTGCGGCTCATTCCAAAGTCGGCTATCTTAATGGTTAGGTTTTCTCCCACCAGGCAGTTTCGAGAGGCCAGATCCCGGTGCACAAAGTTCAGGGAAGAGAGATACTTCATACCGGAGCAGATCTGGAGGGCCACATGGAGGAGGCTAGGATAACTGGGGGAAGGAAAAAGACAGATTAACCGTTAAGGCAATCAAATCTTTGGTCTTCAGTCATAAATAGGTTTGCCACCTCATGCCTTTAAAACAACATACTGTATAAACACAGATTTTATGGCTAATGAAAGGCCAAGCATCATACCCGTCTACAATCTGAATAAAGGGGTTTCTTCACCTGATACATGGAGGGTTGTGTCCATCTTCCATGCTCTCGTCCTCCTCTGCCAGCTGGTGGGAACTCAGGAACTGGTTGAGGTCCCCATTCTCCATGTACTCTGTGATCATGCACAGTGGGTCCTCATCTAAGCAGGCCCCCAAGAGACGTATGATGTGTGGGTCACTCAGACGAGACAGGATCTTCAATTCCTTCAGGAAATCACTCCTGCAGACAATTAGACAACCCGACAATTAGAGACATTATGGGTAAAAGGACAGGGTCAACCACAAAGCATTATATATGGCTGATAATATGTTGACACCCATCAAATTATTGAGTTTATGTGTTTTCAGTGAAGGCTACTGTCATAGCTACAACATTTATTTTAGGCAATTGTGCACATCCAACCTTGAGGCAGTAGTTGGGGAAGGCCCTTTTCTGTTTCAGCATGCCTGTGCCCGTGTGTAGAAAGCAAGCTCCATAAAGAAATGGTTTAATGAGTTTGGTGTGGAGGAGCTTAAGTATCCTGCATAGAACCCTGACCTTAACACAACTGAACACCTTTCGGATAAAGCTGAACTCCAACATCGATATATGTCCTCACAAATGCTCAAATGGGCACAAATTCCCATATATGCACTCCAAAATCAGTGGAGGCTGTTGGACCACATAGTGGGTCGAACTCCATTTTATTGCCGTAGGTTTTGGGTCCAACTCCATTTTAATGCCATAGGTTTTGGAATGGAAACTCCAACAAGCTCATATAAGTGATATAAGTGTGATGATCCACAAAATGAGGAGGCTTAGAAAGGTGCAGGTGGTCAGATGGCTCCACTATACCCATCAATGATGATACAAGAGTCTACATTTTGTTTTGGGTAGGGGGTTGTCAGAGATCTGTATATACGGCTGCTGGTGGGGAAGGGGTAAGAACAGCACATATGGCCACTGTAATGGTGGGGGTATAATTGGTGACCCCCAAACTTTGTGGCGCTTAGATTTCCTGAAGCTCTGTGCTTCCTGTGATACATTCTTTCTCCATTGTAAAACACCTTTTATTTTGCATCTTCATCCCTGAATGTTATAAAAACATTGTACACATTTGATGTTGTTTAAGTTCTTTGAATTTTTAATTGTTGATTTTTGTATAACATAAACATAGAAAGCAGTGCCAGGGACGTGAACATTGTACATGTGTGATGATCACCATCTGCACATCATAAATGTGACATGTGTTTTTACTATTACAACCCTGCAACATTGTAATCTGTGTTAATGTGTCACAATTGATGTATCACATTGTTTACATAAAGGCGGCATAGATTGAAAGGCCAAATTCCACCTTTTACACTGTGTTCTATGTTACACCCATAATAAAGTTACACTAAACCAGCGTTTTTCAACCCTTCTACAGTCACAGCACCCTTCGAAAAAAATGCAAAATTGCAAAATTGTCTAAAATGTAAATATGACATGTCGTTCCATCAATAACAGACATAAGGTAGACCCTTATGATAGGGGTCTAAATGGGGGTCTGGTATGGATGTTAAGGCACCATGCCATAAAAATAATAAAGAAAGTTCCCCCCTTCTCATCAGAGAAAAAAAACCATTAGGAGCACCCCTTCACATCAGAGTCCTCAGTGCTCCTTTACATCCTATTTCATATTCTTCACAACAGTGCAATTACATCAGCATGACAAAGGTCAGGATGTGGAGAAGGTCTGGATAGAGGCCGATTTCTCACTGGGGGAGGCCCTGGATGCAGGCTGCCCTGGAATATCATAACATAAAAGGTTTACCTGGCATTCTTATTTGCATCTGCTCTTAGTAACTTCACAGCCACTAAAAGACTCCGACCCTTGCGCATGTTGAAGGGAAACTGCAGAACAGGTAGTTCTTGAGGATTGACCACTTCACACAGGTGAACCTGGAAGTAAAGTAGCATTACACTGAATACTATGTAAATCTGAGATATCATTGTGTATCACAGAGGGGAAAACTGAGAGATATATAGAATTCTTAAAGAGAAATATAACAGTGACAGGAACACCTAACAAGACATACGGCACAAAAGCTAAAGCAGACATACTGTAGATTAAGGTAATTATATGTCCCATATTGAACACCCTTAATGTAAAAAATGGAGAGTACAAGCTTTGAAATGTTCCCAAACCAGATCTTCAATGGCAGCTACATGACCCAACACCAGAGCATTGATCAAGGGTAGGATCAGTTCAATCAAACTGGTCTCTGACTGGCTTTGTTTAAATATAAGTCTCCTATGACTCCTCAGCAGAGGTCACTTAAATGATGTGTTCACATGGAACAGTGGTTTCTGCAGCAAAGATATTGACGCAGTACCTATCTTTCCATTTATAACTAAAATACTGTATCACTTTCATGTGGACTGGCCATTTAGTAAGCCAATGTGATGTGTGCAAACCTATATCAACCAATCAAATTGGAACTTTATTTGGTTTGGAAAACAAAAAAGAAAACAAAATGAGAACCCAACCCTTTACTTGGTTTGTAGAATGGCCCTTTGAGCTCCCTCGCTTCAAATCCTAAAACTAGCCCTTAACGAAGCCATGGAAGAAAGCTCCTCTGTCCCTGCACCAGAAACCACCTGTGCCAACTCATACCCAGAGCAATGAAGGCTGTCTGCTTGGGGGGTTTTGGTATTTGTCCCTTTTGTTTTTCCTTTTTAAATAAAGGCCATATAGATATTTATGGATTAGCAGAGTGGTACAAAGGAACATAATGGATTGTGGTACAAGGAATAGTTAAGGGGGACAAAACAAGAGAGCAAACAGGGAAATGGCAGTTAGTGGTGTAGCACCCCAATATGTCTGTAATGCAATGGCTGACTGGGATAAGTGGATGACAGATTAGTAATGGGATAGTGAAGATGCGCAGGGTATAATTGGTGACAGGGACATTATGGTAAAAGGTCTAACTGTGTGATACAGAGAAGGACAGAAGGGAGGTATAAGAAATCTGAGATCCAAGGAAATTCAGAACAGGATTGATGACAAAAAAGTGTCAGCACAACAATGACAAAACAACATTCTAAACAAGATGGATGACAGAGAGACTTAGAAACATTGAAACAAGTTAAAGAAAGAGACACAAAACACTGGTCATTATTTCATCAACATCTGTAGCTATAAAAGTTACCTCTCCAAACTGCCCTTCTCCCAGCTTCTCCCGGAAGAGGAGATGCCCTCGAGGGAACTTGCTGAGGGGCAATTCTTTGGATGTGAGAGTGTCGGCAGTCAGGGCAGGTACGGCATAGGTGTTACCCCCTGTCACCCCTTGCAGAGTGACAATATCTGCTTCTGCGTAGTGGGGGACACTAGGAGGGCAAATGGCAGGCAGCTTAGGAGAATCCAGCTCCCTGTACCCCCCTTCTAGGGAGAAAGAGGGAAAAAAGCATCAAGTAAGAGGGAGCAAGGAAGGGTAGAGTTGTAGTCAAGAAACTAAAGAATATAAAGATAGCAACAGGAGCTTTAAGTAATAAGAAGTTGGAAAGAAGAAAAGGTCTGCTTATAAAATATGAGCTAGTACTGCCATTCTCAACCAGGGTTCCATGGAAGCCAAGAGTTCCGCCACAGCTTTCTAGGGGTTCCTTGGGCTGATTGGCCTCCCATTTCATAGTTATGGGGCCATTGCCACTTGGCAGAGCCAGCTACATGACACCAATGATCTTTTTAGCTCTCTCTAATGCTGGCATTCTGACCACCACTGGAAAGGTGGCATTCTTTAACTGGCCACCAATGTAAGGGGCATGTTACCCATTGACCTCCAATCCATTGTTTGAGCAGGGGTCCTCCAAGACTTGAAAATTAATTTAAGGCTTTCTCTGGGGTAAAAAGGTTGAGAAAGGCTGACATAGCATAATAATAATAATTTATGTGCTAGTATAAAACATAGAGGTGACAACATTAGAAACTCTTCAGTCAGTGAAATAGCAGATACAGAGAAAGACATTGAATATACAGTATGGAGTTTGCCATCTTATATCATGGGCAGCTCCAATGTGACAGCCCCTTACCCTGGCTGTTGATTGGCTTAACCTGCAGGCCGCCAGGTTCTGTGATTGGCCGGCTGTAGGTGGCAAGCAGGAGCTCATAGGCTGGGTTGTTTAACAGTAGAGCTGGAGAGACACATGCAGAGTACAGAGGGTACACCTCAATAAACATGCAGACACCATGGACACAATATTATATACATATACACACATGAACACAACTGTCTTCCCACAAAGACTAATATGTTTATGACATACAGACAATATCCGACATCAAAGTCCACAACAGGTCAATATACCACAACGTCTGATAGAGATAAAGGAGTCACTCATTCTCTTGCACATACTGTATGTACACTGATAACGTTTACTTTATTGTGTTTTAAACACCCAACTGATCTGTCTGTTTAAAGGGGAAGTCCAGTTTTGTAAATAAATTTGAGAATGTTTTTGCATATACCCGCTGAATACCTTACTTCTGACTGTGTGCCGGCGGTGGGGAGCGGTGGGGAGCGGTGGGGAGCGGTGGGGAGCGGTGCCTTACTTTTTTTCACAATGCAAGACACCATTTTTCTTATGTCTTTGTTTTTTCTGAACTGTCACAAAGTGACATTTTACTCATTTCTATATATCACTGCATTGAAACGGACAGGCATATGGGGAGTCGCAGTGCAGAAATATGAAGAAGTGCATTTCTCATTTCTGTACCTTTCTACTCCATTGTGGCATGAATGGAGCACATAGAAAACAACTGTTTTCTATGTGAGCTTGCAGAGACCTGTGCTGCTCAGGTGCAGAGAAAACCAGGTCTCCACACCTAGTGTGAATGAGCCCTCGGACTCCCTTCTATAGTCCTTATGATATCAGACATTGATGCTCGGTGGGACTGAATGCATTGCAATGAACATCGAATCCCACCCAGTAACACCTACCTCCCAAGCCCTACTTGTTATAGATTGGCAGCATGCAAACATATTCCTTTGCACTCTTTGAAACAGATGGGTCTAAAATGCTAATGCATGGTCTTTTTTTATTGAACACCATTGTGGAGCAATGTGATAAAATAGCATAGAATAGTGTTAGGCAGCTATGGGCTGTAGGTGGTGATCACATAACACAGCACTCCCCTTATTCACTGCCCATAGCCGCCCAGAAACTACACGAGTCCCAAAAAATCATGGGACATGTTGATTTAGGAAATGGCTTCTGCAGCAATGGCCGGATTTACGCTGTCTGCTGCCCCAAGGCCACGCTCCTCTATGCGCCCCCCTCCCCACCAACGAGCAGGCTGCATACAAGTGATCTCAGCGACATCGCTGAGGTCAATTGTAAACGAACGAGCGGCTTCCCCGCTCTACATTTAGCTCTGCTTGCCTAAACCAGGGCTAAATGTAGATAACAACTACCCGCCTGGTGCCCAGCACAGCATGTCCCGGGCGTAGGGATTCCTGCCGCCCCTCTGCTTCCTGCCGCCCCTCTGCTCCCTGCCGCCCCGAGGCTGGGCCTCGGTTAGCCTTGTGGGAAATCCAGCCCTGTCTGCAGCACACCAAAACTTCCTCCTGTCCCCCTGGACTTGCAAGGGGCTCGGGTGATAATTGATGATACCACAGGGAACTGGTTACGGCACTGGGCAACAACATACATGGGGAAGGTGGGTAAATTGTGGAGTTGAGCTTTAAATCAATTAAAAACATTTCAGGTGAATCAAAATGTATGCAAAGTCTTACAGTATATTTTCTTTATAAAGCAGCCTCAGCCTGATCAGAAAAATCTGTGTGCTGCCAGCAAGCTGCAGAAAAGGACCCTTGTTTCTACAGAAAAGCAGTGGTCTCTCTGCAGAGGTCTGAGTCAGACCTATAGCTATGCAATCAGGAAAACTCATGCTCCCAGCTGATTGGAGAGCTAGCACAGAAGATTAGATGGTTTCCCACTGTGCTGGTAGAAGAAGATAGATGGAGAAGGTTATTTGCAATGTATGTTGTATAATTTTCATGTGGTCACCCAATTTAAAGGAATCAGATTTGTGCAGGAATAATCTTGCTTGTATTGCAATTAGGCAAACTGAGGTACCCTAGTTGACTCTAGTAGGCATTGCTGGGGTTTGTAGCTCCCCTGCAGCCAGTGAGCCACAATTTTAATACCTTCTGTGGCAATTAAACATACTGGTGTTATACTCTAGTACATATACTCTGGCACATCACAAGTATACAGCATATGACTACATGAACATTAGGGCTAACATGAATGAAAACATGAAATACTTGGTTAAGACAACACCAATTATAATCTCCTTCCCACCTGAGCAGAAATATATAGGCATGCATTTAGTAAAATCATCTCTAAATATCTTTATTGCATGCGTTTGGATTTCAATACTCCCTACAGACATGCACAAAACCCTCCACACACATGCATACACACAATGCTCAGGATACATAAGGGTCTTCCTCACCTGTACCCTCAGAGCTGGAGCACAAAGTGGGCATCTTGGCCAGGGCGCTGTGGCTTGGTTCCTGGTACTCCCCATCCGTAGTCAGAATGCGCTCATAGCGGTTACTGTGGCGGGACACCAGTGAGAGGTTCTGTGTGTTGTTGATGACCACGGTGTCCAAAGGGAGGGAGAGGTGGGCAGCGAGGTCACTGTCGGAGGGGCGATGCTGAGCCTTGAGACGAAGATTAAGAGGAGCAATTATCAAGTTTTCTGTTTATCGGGGTAGTGGCCCAAGGGCCCATGCACAATTGCTAGTTTTTTTAACATGTGGTGTCTATTCCCATGTCACCCAGACGTAGGGATTGTTCACACCAGCCGGGATGGGTTATGCTCTGCATAACATGCCCCCTGGTGTGTGTTATATACAGGCGGTACAATGTGCTGTTACAACGCATTACAATGTTTACTTTTCGTTCTTAACTTTATTGAAATGTCTCAATATGACATTCTGCTGTGCGGTGAGTTGCACTGTGTAAGAATGCATACACAACACCGCACATGTAAACAGGACACATAGAAAGCAATTGTTCTCTAGCTGCCCTTGTGTTGCACCTACATTGATCTATGCAGATTAACACAGCTCAACGGACATGGTGTGAACGAGCCCTTATACCATGTTCTTCTAACCCCTGGTGATCCATCTAATCTCCTACCTTCCCCAGCAATCTCTTCCAGCGTTGCCTCCACAGGATAAGGATGATGACCACCAATAAGAGCAGGATTATGACCACCAAGCAGCCAATCAGAATGGAGGTGTTGTTGTTGTCGTCCTTAGCAATTGGCTGGTTTATGCGGTTAACGCTGACAGCTTCTGGTGAGGGGAGATGTACAAAAGGAAAGATGAGCAGAAAGCAAGTGAAGGTGTTACCCATATGAACTGTTCAGATTTCAGCTGCCATTCTTCTACGAAAGCTTAGAAGTAGAATAGATGACATCCAATCAATTACTGGCGCTAGTGGTTAAAACATATCTAAGGTCATCTTTTTTGGTAAAGAATAGGGAATGGTTTAAACCCCTGTTGGTCTTTTTTGACATCTGTGCCCAACCGGGCAGATTCCCCTTCACTTCCTGTCCTGTACATACTGTATAACAATAGGCCTTGTTTACCTTGGCGGCTGACTTTCCGCAGTGGATCGCTTTTCAGAGGTCAGTTGACAGCCGGTTCACTGGCGTTCAGGAGGTGATACTGCTGCCTCCTGAATGGCTTTTTTTTAATCCCAAGGGAAATTTTACATTATAATACCGTACAAAGGTTGTGGAATAGTCCCATTGACTACAATAGTCACGTTTGGTAAGCAGCACTACTTGCCAAACACAAAATGCTGTATAATATTTTCCACAGCATGTATATGAACACGAGTGACCGCCATGGTAACTTTTAGGTGTGCGGTTGGGGGACGGTAGTAAAACACAGATCAACCGCTTGTTTTTACCACTCTTTTGACGCCCATGTAAATGAGGTCTAAGTGAAGAAAATCTCTCATTTCCCAAAGTGAGGCAAATCCTCTCATCGACAGTTGTCACAAAACTTAGTGTCTCCAAGGCAAGATTTCCCCTCTGTTTCTGTTCAGGTGACAAGTCAAAAATTTGGATTTTCCCTCATTTTTCTAATCAGGTGACAATGGTCAACAGAACAAATTGAGAGGATGAATCCCCCCTTCCTTTCCGGGAATGCAGATAGCAGTAAAAACCTGAGAGGGTTCTAACCTTTCACTTCTCTATCCAAAACGTTTTGGCTTTAGATACACTTTATTGAAAACATGTAGAAATTTGACTGGAAAACAGAGGTACCGCAGCTGGTATACCAAACAGCGGATTTTTATTGCTAAAAGCAAATACAAAAGAATGAACAAGAAGAGATATAATTAAAGTGGAAATCCCTTCACCAGCATTTTCACACAGTATTCTTCTGGATTTGGGATCTTCAACCATCTTTATTGGTTGTGCCAGAATTACACAACTCCCAAACTTGTGCATGGGAGTTCATTCCTGCTTACACCGAGGCATGCCAACACTGAGGTATGCGGTGCATACGCATCAAAGCGTATTGCACAGAAGATTGTGACTAGGCAGGTAAACAGGTTTTATTGCAGAGCAGACATAGTATGTATCTTCCTCAATAAAAGCCTTTCCTGCTCAAAATGTTATATTTATTATACACTTAAAACTTCACAGGAATAAACAATCCTCACCGTGAACACTCTCACTGAAGCTCCCCATTGTGGTGATGGCTGGTTTTATTTTTTGGCTCGTGCCCTGAGGCAGTCCTGTTACAGCTGGTAGGGGGGTTGCCTCTCTTGGTTCTGGCATAGGGCTTGGTTCCTCTGGTTCTGAGGAGTCCAGGACATCTGTACATGAAAAACCCATGTCAATGGATCACGTGAGATTCAGAACAACAATGCTATTATAAGAGATCTTCAGTATAGCTAAAAAATACTTCCTTACAGTTTTTTAAAATCCACCAAAGTGTGGGAGTTGCAAAACAAGATGGGGTATGTCCATTTAAAGAGCTTCTCTTCAGGGTTTTTAGCTTTAAATTGATCAATTTATAATGGGTTTATGGCTTTTTCATTTAAAGTGGAACTCTAAAGCAAATAGCTACATACACGGTTCAAAAAAATTCCATCGACAGTCACTGCACACAATCCAGGGAGTATCTGCTTGGGTGCACTGCAGCATAGTAGATACATAGAAAGTAGTAAAGACACTCATTACTCATTACATCACTATTTTGTCCAATGTTTTGCTTGATCGTGGTCCATCTTTGTCAATGCTGCAATAGTGCGATCCATCAAAACATTGGACACAATAAGCTCCTCCTGTGTGGACATTTACTCCTGCTCAAAGGCCTGTGAGGGCCTCTACTATTTTTTATTTCTCGACACAGTTAAAATACATATTAGCCTACTGTTTTATCTACCAAAAGATCTTGGCCAGATATTACCATGATACAAACATGCTGTATCATGGCCCCTAGTAGGGATGAGCTTCTCCAAACCCGATCTGAACCTAAGCTTCTCCAAACATTGAAGGAGCTCTTCCCATGAAGCTTCCATGTTTGGATGAGCTCAGGTTCAGATTGGGTTCAGGCCAAACCTGAGCTCATCCCTGGTCACTGGTAGCACTGCTACTTCCCAGGTCACTCCTTGCCTATGGTAGAGACGTGACATAGGAAGCTGAATTGTTGAACCAGGGAATAAGTGTATCACCCACCTGGCTGGGCAGTGCGCAAAAGGTGTCCAAATCACAAAACTACCTGTTCAGAATTACAAATTCTTTGCCAGGTAAAACCATGAAAATGCTAGCTGCCTGTCTGTTAGCCAAATGACTAAAGTGTATTAAAACCTTAAAATATAAATACTTGACATAATGTATATATGTATGTATTACCTTATTCTTACTTATTTTGACCTGGTGATTCTGCCAGCTTCAGACTGATTAGCACTTCCTGTGCTAGAATGACAATGTGGCTCCCTAAGCAGAAGCAGCATTGTCACCCTAGGAATAGATGCTCCTGCTGGCCCGTACAAGCCAATGTGGTGACCCCCTCCACTTTGATTGTCAGTGACAGCTGCCTATGAGCATTCATGTTTGAGACCATGCATCTACTGAGCCACATGTACATAAAATGGAAGCTCTGTGCACAGCACTCTTGCTTTGAAACATGAACTACAGTAAGCTTAACATTTTTTCATTATTTAGAAAAAAAGCTCAGATAGTTCTATTTTAATACTGCCCTTGGCATGTATAGGGTTTATAACTAGGGTTTAGTTACACTTTACTGTCTTACTGAGTCATTGACCTGGAATAATTATGCAGATAAGGAGTGCCGATTTTACTTTTTTTATATACTTATTCCAGAGGGCAATGGATTTCCATAACAGCCAGATAACCAGCATTTTTAGAAGGAGGTCACCAGTGGTAGCCCTATGATGAAGTCAGCACCTGATTCATCTCACCCTTCTCTACCAAGAAATTAAATATAACTTTTGTAAGGACTGACCTTTAAAGATGCCATCTTTATCTCAAAAAATGGAACTTATTGGGAGGTTATAAAAACATACTGACCAGAGAGGAAGGAGATTTCACTGAAGAGCATCCATTGGCTAGAGAAGTAATAGTGACAGCGCAGGATTCGTGCCATTCTGTTGGACAGCGGGATGGTGAGAGTGCGGGCACTGGGGTCCCGGATGTCCAGGGCCAGGGAGAGGCTGACGGGCTGGAGGTCCCATGGAGTATGTAAGGAGCGCTTGAAGTAACAGTCCACGCGGCGGAATATCTGGACTCCTCGTGACCCCATGTTATTACAATGCACCTGAGGGGGAACAGAGAGGGAGCACCCAAAAAAAAAATTAAAGCTTAAATCAAGACATGCAAGCTGTGCCACACCACACAGCTCTGTCCATAAGGGCAGGAGACCTGATTTTTCTATGCTGCTGTTAGGTAACACGTACAGCTTTTTTTTTTTTTTTACGTAAGAGTAGAATGACATCTATGGCATTAGAACACAAGCCAAGAAAACAGGACAAGTAGATTGCACACTTACCTGACCCTCATCGGTCTTCTGTATCAAACAGACTGACAGGTAACTTATATACGCTAATTCATATTTGATGTATACATTCTGTCATAAATATTGTTCCACGGACTGTTCGTGTGTCACTTTGTAATCTTGGGAAGGGGGGATCTATGCTAGAAGGGTATATATTGATATATTCATTTTGGTACTCTGACTTGCTTAAGAAGCCATATTGTATATGTATAGAAATGTGTAAGTTCTTTAACTAATGGTCTCTGTATGTTGACAGTTACCTTTTTTCTGTAATTCTTCCTGCTGTGTATTTAGCCTAATAGCTGTATACCTGCAGTATGAGATCATCTATGGCACCACTGCCTCTGATTGCTGGTCTCAGCATGAGATTTGGTGCTGTTCACTGTTCACTGTTCTCCTTGCTGGAGAGGAATCTGTACCTGTGAACCTGCAGACATTTCCCTGCTTCTGTTGTATTTGTTCTTTGTATTTGTGTTTTCTCCGCCTATCCTGATGCTTCTTGATTATATCTCCATCAGTTATCACATCACTTGTTATTAGGGGCAGCTCTGACACGAGGAAGCAAAAGCCTGCTTCTCTATCAAGATGGCCGCCTCCAGTCACAGAGACACAGTGCAGAACGAGGCAATAATGGGGAAAAGATAGGCAACAGGGAGCCTATATACAACAAGTAGCTAGTCCTTTGCCCTCTGCATGGCTTTTTTTGGGGCTCTGTTAAAGGTAAACTCCCTGTCACCTATGTACAGTATGTTTTCATTTGGAACACTTAAGATACATAAGATATCTAAGATACATAATATGTAATATTCTGCAGCAGGCACACTTTTGCTAGTGACTGCTAAGTCCCATCTGAGCCTCTGATCTTCGGCTCATAGATATTTAATGCTAGCAATGCTGTTTATAACAACAAATGTTCTCATATATTATAATATAATTCTGTGATTCTACTACAATTAGTATTGGGGTCAGTATTGCGTTTGCATTCTTTCTTGTAGAAGTTTATGGTTATGATGGAATTCTTGTCTTTCTACGATCCTGTGTGTTCCTATTTCATCAAGAAGGCTCTCAGGAATGTGCAGCAACTGACTGGTAAGAAAACATATTTACAGCAGCCAAATTCCACATACAGTATAGCATGTCAAAAAGGCAGTGCTTACCCTCATATATGTAAAAGCTCGTAAGGCATCAAAATCAAACTCCATTTCAAGGTACCCAGTTGGGAAGCTTGCATTATTCCAGCCAACATAGTCATATCCAGGCCAGACACCTAGCTCCTTGTTCTGGAGAAATTCATCCGCCCCAATTACACCATCGGTCAGCTGCCCCAGACCTCCATAGTGCAGGCTACAGGGCAAGAGAAAGAACAGAATTATCATAAAATAAGATATGATTAGGACTGAATGCCCTGCCTGTACATGTTTGCATTTTAGATCACTAGTGGTCAACTGGTGGTATAGCGGGGCCCCAACTACGGCCCCTAATATCAACAAGGGACTACACATAATTGCACATTTAACACCACAGAAGACTGTCAGAGACAGTAAACATGTCACAGGAGATGGTCAAAGACTGAGGAGTGTTTAGAAACAAGGGGTATGCTGTAGGATAGAGTCAGAGACCGGGGGTATGACATATGAAACCGTTGGAGGTCACTGTCATTACAGCCCCTTTAGAAATCAAAATGTCTACTTCTGATTGCTGAGGCACCTTAAGTACCAAAGGGCCATAGGTTGGGCACGAGTGATCTAGAGAAAAAATAGGCAGAAGCAATTGCGATAACAATACGTAAGTTACTTATAAGGTAACAATGTATGACTTATCAGATAGTAGAGGAAGGGATAGGGATCGGGGTGTAAGGTGGTACTGGATCAGATTAAACAGTCAATATTAACTTGGTTCCATCACTAGTTGGGTGACAGGTGGTACGTAGGCTGCTCACATATGAAGAAGCCCCAAATGGGAGTACTTTAGGTCATAAAATATTAGGAAGTGATGACAGAGCACCAGTAAGGAATAACGATAGGGCAGAAATGTATTATTTATGTAGCATTTCCATTTGAAGGATTCATTGTGGACTCCTGCCGAGAAGAAAGCAGTACTGCAGAGAAGCAAAAGTTAATGCCAGAGGGACCCTTGCAAAATTTATAGAGAACATGTTACAAATTATTATACCATAAAATGCTATTGTTCCTAAGAAACACATCGTATTGGTATAATAAACAGGAGCTCAGCTGTGCTAGTCCATTATGTGATAAAAAAGATCACCTGCATCACTAACAAGCATTGTTTGCGGCTGACAAGGATTTCTGAATACTGGAGCTAAGAATAAACCAGCCTGGGTAAAATAAAAAGCTCAGAATCTGGGCATACTAGTACATGTATTTACCCGCCAACAGTGTATCCATCATATGTTGAGTCATTTAGATTTACAAGCATCGAAGGAAGCTTCATGATGTTTCCAGGCGGAGAGGTATAAAAACGAAGACCATCTGTGAGGACAAGAAAAAAATTCAGAGTGGAAAAACAATGATGAGCAGAACTGGGACTATAAACATAACATAAGAAGTTGTTAGGGACATTCATCTAGACTTGTTTCAAAATGTTAAAGACATTTTACTACTAATCCAAGTGGCTTCCTCAGTTCACACCAATGCTGGGAACATACCAAACAAATTATCAGTAATGTTCCCAACACCCACATTTGGAATAAGGAAGCCACTTGGAAAGTGGTGAAACATCTTCTTTACCATTACTAAACAAGTCCAGATGAATGCCATCATTGACTATGAGCTAACCCATGACTTGGATTAATAAAATCTGTCACAGATGATGAACAGAAACGCTTTTTTGCAACAACAACCAATTATGTGTTAGTTTTCACCATGTTGTATGCGCTAAAGACTCAGCAACTGGAATGTGACTGGTTTCAATGCCCAATCTGACTTTCTCATTCTCAGATTTCTATTTGAGGGTCCAAGTCACCAAGATGACTAAGAGTATTATGTCACACAAAGACTCACCTTGCCAGACACAGCCATAGAGTTCAACTCTAAGGCAAACGCTCATGACTCGGTCAGCCATGGGGTAGAATCGAACATAGCGGGCTATTAGTGGAGGCCCCAAGTCCTTTAAAACGAGATCACCTGTGTTTTCATTACCCACTATGACCTGCACGGGGGAGACAAACACACATAGTGAGCCTTCCTGCAAAAAGAGGAGTCTGATTTTTGGATGGGTGTGGAGCCAAGATGTCCAGCAGGATATCCTCACCATTGGAGTGTTAAAAATTATGACAACATCCTTCATCCATAACTAACATATCAGACTTTAAACAAGCAACCTTGTTTATTGAGATATTCAGAGAGTTATTTACGGGAGCAACTCATCTCCTCTCTTTCTTATTTTTATAGCACTATGGAAGAATAAAAGGAAGTATCTGATTGATCAACACATACTTTTCTACTTTATAAAATCAAAAATACATAATTTAGCACCTCCCTATCATCAACAATCTTACCTCGTTTCCCCAGCGGTCTTGCCACTGGGCCCATTTGTAACCGTCTCGACTGTAGCGCAGTTGGTAATGCCGGACAAATTCCTTGCCAAGCCCACCTCCATCGCGGCCCTGTGTGCCAACAAGGGTCATGAAATGGAGCTTCCTCAGATCTATCTGTAGATACTCTTCATTATTCGGATATACCGGTCCTGCTGGGCACCATGCACCATCACCATCATGACTTTCTAGCCTGTGTTACACAGAAGACATATTTAAGTTATTTTTTTTTAAAAAGCAAACACCCAACATATCAAGTTGTGCCCCAAAAAACATTTTTTTCTGGATAGCCTTGGCTGTTCATTAGTTACTCCCTCATGAGATTAGTTACTCCCTTAGGAGATTTTACCTTACTTCCTGGGATGGGAAGGCACAATATAGTAATATTACCCTGACAGAGGTTCTAACCCTGCCCCATTTTACCAAAAAAGTGTCTTGCCCCAGAAAAACTTCCCATCACTTCCTGTCTTGTCATGGAAAGTGCTTTGTTGTTGTTTAAGCTTCAGTTGTTTGAGTTTCAGGGGGACATCAGGGAAAGTCAGATATTAGTAACAAGGCGGAACTGAATTAAGACAAGGGCGCAGCAGAGGCTACTAATTTTTAAAGTTAAAAATGAAGTACAACCCATTAACCCAGCTGAATGTAGAGCCCTGGTGCCCAAACTTGCAGCCCAGGAACCACATGCAGCCTTTTGGAACTTGCTGTGGGGCCCTTGGACCCTAGCAGTCATGAGTGGGAGAATTGATTTGTAGCAGTGATATCGAAAAGCCCTGTGTAACATGTCCCCAGTGACTCATTGCCTTTTACAGCATGTCTCTGGTCTCCAACCACTCCTGTAGCATGTTCACAGTCTCTGACCATCATTTACTCTAGAATCTCAGCAGTCTCTGTCAGTTCTCACTATTATTACATATAGGGAACATTATGAGGCCCCATGGTGATGTCAGGGGCTGCAGTTGAAGCCCCCTATACCTCGTAGGTTGATAACCACTGATGTAGTCCCTATGTGTTAGGGAACATTGCTTTACCCCGCTGATAAAACTGCTTCCACTTTTCATCTACATACTACAACACCCAACTGCAATTTCTGTATGGTGAATGGTTACCAGGTCAGAAAGGAAATACAGATGTGTAATGTATGTGTGAAGGAAATTTGAACATTTGTTCGTGATATGCCTACTGTCCTGTATAATTGGACTGATATCCTAAAACTAGTAAAAAGAAAACAATCAGATTGTGGTTTCCATTGTCCCCTGCAGGTTTTAACACATGAGAGTTGAAACCTAATTGGTTGACATAGGGTTTCCTTCCAGTTTTCAGAACTTTCCTTTTTGGGCTTCATTTATGAATAAGAGATCCTAAAGCACACCAAGGGAAAGTGAAAAGCAAATTCTAATTGGTTTAGTCACTTTGATAAATGACTTATCTGCTGTTCAGGCCTACCAGCTCACATTGATCAAATAACACTGAATCTCAAGACGAAGACAATGGCATGATAAGTCTACCACGAGGCAAAACCACAGCAGAAAAAGTCTGTGTTCATTGTTCTGACTGAGATTTCCCAGAAAGGAAAAATCAGAGCACCAGCTATTAAAGAAACGTAATGGCATTCTTAGGCAAGTCACAACGAGATGGCTTCTCTCACACACTACAATTTTCTTTGTCAGCACATTAAGACAGACTTTCGATACTCGGAGTTCTCTATGAAACTCCCTGTTTTGCTGAGTTACTGACTGAAACACAATACAGCTAAATAAGATGCTAAAAAAGATATTATGACCTGTAGGCCAGTAAACTGGCTATTTTGTAGACTCAGCTATTGCTTATGGGAGCGCTACTCGTCAATTCACAGGAAGATGGTGACACCACTGTCGAAGCAAGCCTATCGCTAATGGCTGGTGTGCATGAGATTCAACTACAGTATGCTTTTACGTGCTCTTGGGATGCTTTGAATTGTGTTGGAGTTGCATCCAGTTGCTTTTGTATTCACTTCTATGTGAAATAAAGGAACTTGGATGCAGACAAAAGCCTATATACACAAGTCCTAAAGATTGTTATAGAGGTCAACAGAGGAAGGAGTTCTGTTCATATGGTTGAGTGCCAACACATCATCATGGAAATGACGTGGATTGGGCAAGGCTTTCTAATCTATCCAATGACGCTGTCCCCATAGAAAGGTAGTTGGGGTCATGGGGGTCAGATTAGGCAATAGAGGAAGGAGTGATGTCCAGATAGTTGCACGCCAACACATCCTTAGCCAAATAATAGGGATTGTATAACACTTTCCAATCTGTTCAATGACACTGTCCCCATAGAATGGTCGTTAGGGGTCTTGGAGGTAAGATTAGGCAATAGAGGAAGGAGGGATGTTCAGATAGTCGAGCACCAGCATATCATCAGCCACATAATAGGGACTATGTAAGGCTTTCTAGACTGTTCAATAGCATTGTCCCCATACAATGGTTGTTACGGGGCATGGGGGTAAGATTAGGCAATAGAGGAAGGGGGTGGGTCAGATAGTTGAGCGCCAAAATAGCATCAGGCATATAATAGGGACTATGTAAGGCTTTCTAGACTGTTCAATAGCACTGTCCCCATACAATGGTTGCTTTGGGCTGACCACCATACACTGAAACATAGCCTAATAAGCCCACAACAGCCATATTGGAAGATTATCCTAAATCTAAGGGAACCCTAATCTAAGGGAACCCTAAATCCTAAAGATAGCCATACACTGTTAGATTTCTCCCCCAGGGGCTGAATGAGAGAAAATCACTTGATTCCCATGATTTGCTCCTTTGACTCTTCAGTGAGGAGGGCCAGCAGTAATCAGCAAAAATGTAAGATGTGTATGGCCAGCATTATTCTGAACAGGCTGAACTGAATAGGTAAAAATAATTAAAAATGTCTCCTCCCCACCCCAGTGGTGAAAGATTCAGTCCTATTTCTGCCTAAAATTGCAGGATTGTGGATTAAGGACAGTATGTTAGCCCATCAGGGTTGTTGCTGCCAATTGCAATTCCAGCCCTAAAGGAGATATTTATATCAGATCATATAGAGGTAATATCAAATCGTATGGAGATCCATTTGGTTAGAGTATCTTCTGAGTCAATCAAATACCATTCCAAGCCCTGAGAAAGGGGATTGTTGTTGCCCCTGAATCATGTTGACTGTTGTTGTTTGATTAAATTAAAGTCACTTTTGGACCCTTTCCCATTTTGGTTTGGCGTCCTTAATTTCTGAACATTGAGTCACTTCTGAATACCCAAAAGGGAGGCTTGTTTTGCTTGGGAGCTGCCTTTGACATCATTTATCTCTAAACTAGCAGTAAAAAGTTGCCTCCTCACTTTTGTAAAAAGATTTGGTTGGAGTTCCTCTATAAACACTGTGATGTTGGGGGAAGTTAGCACAAATGGTGAGCGCTTAAGGGCCAGTCTCGGAGCCATTTTAACAGGAAAAAGAACGGTCTTTTATTTCTTCAAAGGCAGACAACCATGGAAGTTTAACATAAAATAGCTTTCTTCAGCAGTACAACATACAGTGTGCTTGGAAAACAGATCGCCTCACCATTCTCAGGGTTGTCCTATTCAGTGGCTCACTCAGCCTCCCCAAACCTTCCAGCCTCCCAGGCTGTTCATGTGCCTCCAGCACACACCAAACTTGGCTTGGCCTGTGTGGGCCTCCAGCACACACAGCCACCTGGCTCCCCTCTGACGTCTGGGTGGAGTCCTCTTGACTCCTGAACACCTATGTTCCTCTTCCCAGCTCGAGCCCAGAACCTTAGCCAGCACCCTTTCCACAAGTGCTGTACACAGGTGTTCAATTAGGTGCTGGCCACTATTAAACAATGGACCCAGGAATGGAGATTTCATCCCTCCAAATTCTCTAAGAAATCTCCTGGCTCCAGGATCCCGACTATGATCCAGAAAACCTGGAAAGGACTGAGAAGCCAGCTCTTTCCTGGTACAAGCAATTGCTTCCTGGAGCCACTCAGCTCCTCTGGCTCAGAATCCTGGGTGACTTTTAGGCCACCTAGAACCGTTGTATTGCCACGCAATACCACAACACCTATAGTAATTTGGAGAAGCGGAATGAGTCGCATAACCGATTTCTCACAGTCTCAGGCAAAAACGTGAACTCCTGGTTTCCCTCGCTCTCAATCCCCGAGTCGCTGATCTCAAGAGGTGGCCTCATACAAAACATCTAAACACTTTCAAGGACAACCCTGAACTTTCCTGACGTATTTTGTCTAAAAACCCTAAATCGTCTTCAAAGCGCGTTTCATGTGACATGTGGTGGCCATCTGAGGGGTAAAATGGACCGAAGTGAAACAGGAACCTTTATTACCTCCTACAGCTCCTCTGTTTGATGTGCCATCCTCCCGAACCCTGAACTGAATTAGTGAAATCATCTGGCTTAAAGGACATCTTTCATCTTCAACGAGCTTGAGTTTATTTGATTAGGCGTGTAGGGAAACAGGTGAACGTTGTTTGCGTGTTTCGGTATGTACTGACAGTCAGTGCAAAACATGCAGTATTTCAACAGTAAAAGGCTTAGCATGAGAGGGGCCCAAATGATGTGCAGGTGTAATAAATGATTAACAGCAGATTTTAGGGGGCCAATGGAGAGGGGACCAACAGAACTAAACAGAACAGAGGGCACGTATGTAGAAAATGTCCTACAGCTGATCAGTAAACTCTAACTGAATGCCACTTTGCACATGTACTGTATGTCATAAGCAATTGCTATGTTTTCACTTTACTTTCATCCTTTGTTGTATGTCAGCACTGCCGATCTTCTGCACACTCTTGGCAGCCACTTCCTCTGTCTACATGCATACCTCCCAACTGTCCCTCATTTTTTAACCTGATCCCTCCGCCCCTCGTTCTCATCGGTTGTCCCTCTTTTTTGGTCTGATGTACAGATATGTATGAAAAGGTTCAATTTCAACTACCAAAAGTGTTATTTTGCACTAAGGGCTAGTTCATACCAGAACTGCGTGCGTCTGTGCAGTGCAATGCGGGTTACCGCAATTTTACAGCGATTGATTGATACTTTTTTTGTGCTTAAAATGGGATTTCAGGTGAGTTCCAGTGCGGTTGCATGCATTTGTGATGCATTCCGTTGCGATCCGATGTAACTATAATAGGGCAAGTAGTATTTTTTCTGCCTGCATCGGAACGGACTGCACTGGTGTGAGCACCAGAAATCCCATAGAAAAGCATTGTAATGCATTTTAGATGCAGCCGCCAAACTGAACGGACTACATCACAACTGCACCTGTTGTGAACTAGCAGCTTTCATCTTATCTCTTAAATATCTTGTTTGATATTTTGAAAAGCCAGTATAAGGGCCCATTCACCCCACATCATCTCCAGACCAGACCAGATTGCTTCTGGACCCAAAATGCATCCCAATGTATCCCCATGCTATTTCTGGTCTCTGTTTACACCAGCGCAGTCCGATCCAGACCAGGCCAGAAAAATACTGTGGGCCCTGTCACACCATCAGGAGTGCGTTCCAGTGCATTTGGCTTCTGGAACGCAACTCAGCCGGCTCACTTTGTTTTGGGGCGGGAGGAGCCGTGGCGGTGTATTGAACTCAATGGCACCGCAGCCACGCCCTCCCACCTGCGGTGCGTGGCACATTAGTGCCTGCGTTCCGGTACAGTGCGATCTGCAAAAAACGCTGCAAACGCTGTTTTTTGCAGATTGCACTGGACCGCAATGCAGGCACTAATGTGCCACGCACCGCGGGTGCCAGAGATCACAACGTGGGGAGGGGGCTTCAATGCACCGCCACACTTCCTCCTGCCCCCCAAAAAAGTGAGCCAGTCGGGTTGCATTCCAGTGCCTTTCAGAGGCTGAACGCACTGGAACGCACTCTTGATGGTGTCACTGGGCCCTGGATGTCTTATTTTGTCTGGTTTGGAATGCACTGGAACTGCGGGCAGGTTCACACCATTTTCCGGACCAGATCTGATACGGAAAATGGTGTGAACCTGCCCTAAAAGGAAAAGTATTGGTGAAAAAAAAAGTAATTTTTTGCATATACATTTTAATGGCCCATATAACTTCGTGGCGGGGGGGGGGGTCGAAGG